AGCAAGACCCTGTGGGGGGAGGGGGTCTACCGGGGGGGGGGGGACTGGAACCAGGAAGAGGGGTGCTAGGGGAACCGGGTGGGACGCGTGCGGGTGTAACTGGTAGAAACAGACCGACTCGTCAAAGGTGACGTCTTGGGAGGCGAAGACTGGATGCGAGGGCGGGTGGTAGAACTGCCACGGCGGGGCGTCAGTAGGGAAGCCAAGGAAGACGCAGCGGAGAGTGCGGGAGGAGAGCTTGCTCGCGGTGGTATCGCGGACAAGAGAGAGCGCGCCCCAGACCCGAAACACTGACGCATCGCCAGCCTTCCCCGTCCACCGGAGTGTGGGCAAGGTCTCTGGCTCCGAGACACGTGGCCAGAGGTTGAGCTGATGCGCAGCGTATCGGACCGCAAACGGCCACAGAAAATGGGGAGCAGCCGCATGGATCATGGAGGTACGAGCAACCTCCATGATCAAGCCAATGCGACGCTCAGCAATCCCATTCTGCTGAGGAGAGGCCGGAAGCGTGAACGTCTGGTGGATGCCCTCGTCTCGACAGAACCCCGCAAGGAGGTCAGAAGAGAACTCACCGCCCCTGTCAGAGTGCAGACGCAGGACTCGGAAGTCCTGCTGAAAACGCTCGTGCAGCTGGAGACGAGTAGCACGGATCCAGGGGATCAAAACACCGCTGACGTCCGCCTTGCGACGCAAGGGGAAGACTGTGGTGTAGTGTGTGTAGTCGTCAACAACCAACAGGAAGTAGCGCTCCTGACTCGTTCCACCGATGGGGGCCGGGCCCCACACGTCCAGGTGGAGAGTCTGCAGAGGAGCGGTGGTCAAAGGAAACTCGGAGGAGTGAGGAGCGGCGCGCTGCCGCCCCTCGACGCAAGGAAGACACGGCGGGGCAAGCGAGCGCGGCAGGGGGGGCAGGGTCCTGGGGAGGCCAGAGACAAGGAGACGGGAGTGCATGTTGCGTAGACGCGGCAGGGAGGGCTGACCAAGATGGTGGTGCCAGCGCTGAGTCTCGTGCGTGAGTACTCTGCACGAGTAGGACGCAGCTAACTGACCCGACGCAGACGCCCGACTCGACGCGGCCACCTGACCTGACTCAGCCACCTGTGCCGACGCAGTAGTTAGTGTGTACAGACTAGACCCAGGCTGTCGAGTGAACGTAGCCAGGTGACGCCCAGTCCGGGAGCACGTACAGATCGCCACACGCTGCCCTCCAGGAATAAAGGTATCAACCCAGACATCCTGAATGGCAGCGTTGCTCACCAATTTCGTTGAGAACGTGGGGAGGTGGAGACCTGACAGAGAGCCGGAGGGAACTGCTGGACAAGGGAGGACCGTGGAGGCTCTCGCAACTACTGGGCCCCGAGAGGGGTCAGCCAGTGAGACTGGGACAGGTGCTGTGAGTGGTGTGACTGTGGTGCAATCACGAAAGAAGCAACGTGACGCGCCTGAGTCAAGCGCGAAAGTGTGCAAGACCTCAGCTGAGGCAGGACCTGTGGCAGTAGACGCACTAGCACCTAGAGCATCGGCAGACTCATGGGCACCTAGAGCTGCAGCTGAATCACTAGTACCTGGAGCGGCAGCAGACTCACTAGCACCTGGGGCGGCAGCAGACTCATTAGAACCGAGAGCAGGAACCTCTACACAGCCAGGGACGCATCGCTGAGAAGCACAATCGCGACGTCGCTTAGGCTACTGAAAATCAAAACCTCCACCACCAGGCCTGCCTCGCTGAACAACCCACTCACGGAGCTGCTGAGGGGTGGGGTCATACGGGAGAGGCAGTGCCCGCTGCTGTCCACCCCTGGCCGGCAAATGCCGCGATAGTGGCCATGACGGACAGCGACGGTCAGGAGTAGGTCCAGCACCTCCAGCTCCTCCAGCACCAGCAGCACCTCCAGCACTCCCAGCAGCACCTCCACCAGCAGCAGCAGGTCGGCTCGGTGGGGCTGGGCAGCCGCACCTCCTGCACTCCCAGCAGCACCTCCACCAGCAGCAGCAGTAGCACATTTTTTTTATTTTTTTTATTCATTTATTTATTTATTTTATTTTAGGGTTGCGCGCGGGCTGCAGGGGCAGCGCCCACAGGCTGCAGGGGCGACGCGCTGCTCGGCAGGGCGGCGCGCGTGTTATAGGGGTGGCGCGCGGCTCGGAAGGGCGGCGCCTAGGCTGCAGGGGCGACGCTCGGCTCGGCAGGGTGGCGCGCGGGCAGCAGGGGCAGCGCCCACGGGCTGCAGGGGCAACGCGCGGCTCGGCAGGGCGGCGCGCGGGCTGCAGGGTTAGCGCCTACGGGCTGCAGGGGCGACGCGCGGCTCGGCAGGGCGGCGCGCGGGCTGCAGAGGCAGCGCCCAGGGGCTGCAGGGGCGAACGCGTGGGATGCAGGGGCAGCACGCGGGCCACAGGGGCAAGCACGGCTGCAGGGGCAGCACGGTCGCAGGGGCAGGCACGGCTGCAGGGGCAGCACGGTCACAGGGGCGAGTACGGCTGCAGGGGCAGCGCGGTCGCAGGGGCGAGCAAGGCTGCAGAGGCAGCACAGTCGCAGGGGCGAGCACGGCTGCAGGGGCAGCGCGCAGCTGCAGGGGCAGAGCGGCTGCAGGGGCAGAGCGGCTGCAGGGGCAGCGTAGGAAGAAAAATTTTACGGTTAGGGAAGGGCGGAACGTCCGGTGGGCCCTAGGAACTATTCTGCTCTAATAGCATATTAGAATAAGCACGCAGGAATGGTGGACTAGGTAGCATGCATGAGTACAAGTACCTAACCCTAAAGTGTTGTACCCCTTGTAGGCTAACCCACTATAGCCTAGAGAGAACACAAACATACAGTTTGACAGCGTCTGCCTTAGACATCTAGCTTGTTGACTTTGCTGTTAGCCGCCTTGGCTACCTAGTGAGTCTAGTTTCGGAATCTGACTATTACTGCCCTCCGTCCGTCGGGGGTGAGCATCTACACCGCATACAAACTATACACAACATTTTACATTGTAATTACCAAACGAGTTTTCCGACCATTCGCGCGTTTCTGGCGATTGCGAAAAGTGTAACGTATAAATAAGCGAACCCCGCCAAATATTTCGCCAGCAACTGGGGCACCCACCCCAAGCCACCCTGCCCTGTTATTTAATAGCGAAATTTTTTATTCCTTTTACTACATTCGAATGGGCTGTGGAATACAGCGGGATCGGAAGCCTATGTTAACAAAGCAGGGAGTTTAGACAAAGACAAAGATTTTCTGGGGATAAGTCTAGGTAGGTTATAAATGCAATGAGAACATTTCTATGCGGGAAATACCATTGCGAATCGGTCAAATCCAGGTGACTACTCAGATGGGTAACCCTGCGTATAACTTTGCTTCGACCAAGCCCAAAATACGACCAAATGGCTGGATCTGGCGAAAGCGAAACGTGTAACAATTTGGCGAGCCCCGCCAAAGATTTCGAGCACAACGACCATTCTGTTTGCCAGAACGCGGAACAACCACCCTAAACCACCCTCGAAATTAGTCGGAAAAGGTTTGATCCCAGTTCCAGCATCAAACTGGGTGTGGAAAATAGTAGGCCCGGGTAGGTTAGATTGTTCAGCAAAATAACGGCTGTATGAAAACGCATTCGGGGGCGAAAACCGAATGTCAAACATTGATCTCCTGCTAAGTAGAGGTCCCAACTAGCTCGGTGGGCAAGTTTACACGAAAGAATACCATCCGATTTCTGTCAAGTCAGGGTGCCTACAAACTGTTTGCGTAACCCTACAAACTTCGCAATCGTCAGAACCGCCCATATGGTCGACCATTTCGTTTGGTCGGAGCAAAGTTACACGCCCTCTCAATCTTTACAACCGGCCCTATGGTCGACCATTTGGGTTGGTCGTTACAATTTTACACGCCCTAAGGAATTAGAGCGTAAAGATTTGGGAATTCTTCGAAACCAAGTAGTTCTAGTAAGTTTCAGAGCGGTACTGTTTCCCGCCACTACAAGTTCAAACGGCTGGAAGCGGAAGACGAACCGGCACATGCTGTTACCAAATTCCCATCGGCAATTCGCTCCAAGTTCGCCCCAACCGACTCCCCTCTTCTTCACTCCGATCGGCACCACTGCTATTTCAGGGCGGGTCATACTCATCAGATTCCCGATCAACCTCCTCTCCCTGTCTCACTTTCACAACCCTATCATTCCGGTCACATCTTGTAGAGCCAGTTCAGCGCGCAGGTATCAACAGCACGTATCAGGTGTCTCCGCTATATATCATGCTAACGAGCGCCGACGACTCGAACCGCCAGCGAGCGAGTGCAGCAGCTTCTCCGCTGCAGCGCGCCGATGCCGCGGAATCTCGGCGGCGTCATCGCGACGACGCTCAGGTCTCGCTGCAGGTGTCGAGTGATACAAGGAAGAGTGTAGTACGACTAAACTAGTAATGTACAAGTATAGAACCCAGGTCAAGTCACGCAACTGCACCTGTGCTCGAGCCAGCTCAGCAACCGTCACTCGGTGCCGAATCTCGCAACCGTCGGCTGTAAACTAGAGCCGTCGCCGCGGCTCGTTGCACTTGCGCCGCTCCTCTCTGCGCGGAAACTAGCTGCTCGTTGCGCCGCACCTCCGCGGAAACTCACCAGCTGTTTCCCCCCGTTCTCGCCATCACCTCGTCCGAAAATGCTCCCATACCCCCTCGAACCTCGAGCCTAATTGGCAGTCGATACGATGCCTCGACTTGTTGCGCGCCTGCGCGACAGGATACAGCCATCAAATAGTTGATGAGAGCGACGTGCGCGGACGCATGAGCGATGCGGCGCGTGAGCTCAACGAGTCGGAATCTGTTGCGCGCTGCCCTCGCGTGTTGGCCTCGTTGGAGGGTATAAAGGCAGCAAGGATGAGCAGCTTCATCCACACCATTCCGGCGAGTCATTCGTTTAGCAAGTCGGTTCTTCTGCACTGAGAGTTTTTTCTTGCTGAACCTTTCGTGCGTTTCCTTTGAGAGGACTGCGTGTGCGAGTTCGGATCCTTTCCCTCGGGGAAGAAATGGCCATCCGCGTGCGAAATGCGGTTTTCACGAGCAGCGGTATCGCCGCGCTGCTGGTGGCGTGCCTGCTGAGCGCAGGCGGGGGGGACTTCGCCACGGCGCAACCTGACTGGGCCTCGCGATTGGTGCGCAGTTCTGCGTCGAAAGAAACAATCGCGCCGCAACCAGACTCGCTGATGGGGGGAGGTTCTGCGTCAAAAGAAACACTCGCGCCGCAAACTCTCCCTGCGCAGCTGGTGCGGCGGCGGCCAGACTGGGAGGCGCAGATGGCGTCAATCATCCAGCAGGTGGCGAATCAGACGTTCCTCTCCTCCTTTGGCCAGATCTTCACCAGCTACTGTGAGTGCTCAACCCTTCTAAACCAATCTGTACCCATTTCCACTTCATCATCGACCAGGATGCAGGAAGCAACCCTTCTCATCCCCACCAGTGACTACCACTTTCTCTGCCTCACTCAGTGTCTAATTGGTCCCACGCCTTTTCTGAACCGTTCTGAACCGCTCTGTACCCGTTTTCAGTCCTAGTGAGCCGGTTGACCGGAACTCGTTCCTTTCATCCCCACCAATGACACCGCTGGCTCAGTGTCTAGTTTCTTAAATGTCTAATCCCGCTCCCCTTCACCCCATTGCTCCTCGCCCCAATCCTCCCTGCTACAGTCGGCTGTTCATCCTTATCCCCACCAACATCCCCCCCTCTTCCCCTCGTTCCATTGCTCCCTGCGCCAGTCGAGTCGGAGCAGCTGTTCATCGATCTGGATGCAACCATCCTCATCCCCACCAACGTCGGCTACTGGCGCTACGAAACCCAGTGGGACACCCTCACCCGCAAGCAGAAGCGCCGGCTACTCCGTTACCACATTCTCAAGGGCCGTTACACCACGCAGCAGCTCCTGGACGCCACTCCTCTCACGCTCTTCCCGACGTTCAACCAGAACCTGCCAGTAAACAAGACTCTTAAGCCGAACGAAGTGTACTTCCAGTCGGTTCCGCCGACGAGGTTCGTGTCGCCGCTGAGCGTGCCAAATGCTGGGCTGACGGATGGTCCTCCAGCCGCCCAACCTCAACTAAACCTTGTCTTCGTGCAGCAAGAGGCGCTATCCACTTCAGTAGCATGTCAAAACAGCTCCAAGCCTCTGATTTTTAGTATAGAGGGGGCATAAACCAGGGATGGAGTGAGTGATGGCGGATGAATGTTTGGGAGCAGGCTATGAGAATAAAGAGGACAGAAGGAATTAACTTCAATCATAACATACGGTACAAGGGCCTGCCTGATATGCAAACCTGTACCCTCTAAAGTGCACCTCAACCTAGCCTACGAAAGTACACATATAAGCACACCTCTGCATGTTAACACTGTTGGGCTGATGGCCCTTAGGATCTTTGCAGGACTAAATTCCTAGTAAGACTGATGTAATAGCGGAAGCGTTTTAATGAGAACTTTGTGAACCACCTTGCGCTAGTATGTGAGGGCAAAGTAGATTGATTAAGACAAAGAGATACAAGCTTTTATAAGAGTACAAGGAATGCGAAGAGATACAGTTAATAACCGTTTTGCTGTTGCTGTTGCGGTTCGATACAGTGACGACTCGGGCAACTGCTCAATAGCGTGTCAGTTGTTTGTCCTTGCTGTCGCGCTGTACTTGTCAGGTCAAAGGTCGCTGACCTTTGACTTTCGCGTAACCTCCAGCAGTTGCTCAACCTCCGAGGGTTGACTCGCTGATGCTTCGATATGTTTCGCTTCGCTTCTGACTTGGTATTTCGACACGACAGAGGCGTTTAAGTTACTTGTTTCCAACAAACACCCCCTAGGCTAGGTGAGGGGTAGTGCCTAGCAAGTGAGAAAGAGTAGTGCGTGCAAACGAATGTGAACAAATGGAGAAAGGAGTTGAGGCATACGGTTGCGAAGAAATGTGTAGGGGTCAGTAGAGGATGAAAAGAAGCTAACTTCAGCAAAAGTAGTGTGCAGTGTGTGGCAGAAACTAACGAGCAGGAATGATGTCACTAGTCACGAAAGCAAGTACAAGAAGCACACCCTAAAAGTCTTGTACTCTATAAGCCACTACAGCCTACAGACATATAGATTAGTTTTGACACACCCCCATAGGCAAAGTGAAGGAGAACCAGCGGCCACAAGGCTAGTCAAGAGAAACAAAGGAAGCTCAGGGTGGATCACGAAGTCACCACACACTCTGAGCACAAGCGAATAGCCATAAGGCCAATCAACATGCAGAGTTATATAAAAGACAGCAAACAGTACAGTGATCACTACCTAGCAACAGTAAGTATGCAGGTATATATATAGGTCACAGTACAAGCAAAGTCAAGCAGTGAGCAAGTGAGGCAAAACAGGTACAATGCCCAACACAGTACAGAAGCGCTGATGATCACCAGGCAGAAGCGCCTTGGTGAATATATCAGCAGTGTTGGCCCGAGTGGCCACGTAAGCAAGACGAAGCTGACCACGCTGCTGCGACTCTCGAGCAAGGAAGTAACGCAGAGCGATGTGCTTCGTTCTACGTTCATTGACACAAGGCAATGACAGCATTGTTGTCTACGTACAGAACTGGAGGAGAACGAGGCATGTAGGTCAGCGTAATTAGGTAAGCCAGCGTAACTTCTGTGCAGCCATGGCTGTTGCGTAGATATCAGCCTCACAACTGGAGCTAAGAACAGAAGACGAGCGGGTAGACCGCCAAGAAACAGAGCCCGAGCCAAGGCTGAACGTGTAACCCTGAGACGACCGCTGCGTAGCCAGGTCGTCAACCCACAAAGCGTCTGAGTGTCCAGTAAGGACAACTCGACCCCGGCCTCCAAGCCCGAGCCCCACGCCCGATATACTACATAAGTAACGCAGTACCCACTTCGCAGCATCCCAGTGCACCTTTCGGTGCCTACAAGGTGCCACGTAGCGTGCCAGAAGGCCAAGAGGGTACGTAAGGTCAGGATGAGTGCAGATCAACAGGTACATGAGGCAGCCCACTACCTCTGGGTACGGGCCACTCAGCTCTATGGACTCATCCGAAGGTGGAGCTGAGAGCAAGTGATCGGTAGCCAAAGGAGTGGACTATGGCGAGGACCAAGTGAAGCCGAAGCGCTGAAGGACCTGCTGCACCATGTGTGACTGAGTCAGGATGATGGTGCGTCGTGCTCTGTCCCGAGTGATCTGCAAGCCAAGATAGCTGCGCAACTTACCCAGGTCTGTGCACGTGTGTCTCTTCTGCAGCTCCGACTTCACAAGGGCGAGTGCCTGAGTGTCAGTAGTAGTTAAAACCAAGTCATCGACGTACACGAGGATGTAGAACGGCGGCAGCTAAGTGTCGGTGCGGAGAAACAGCGACGGGTCTGCTGTCGAAGGAGCAAACCCAAGTGCCGCAAGTGTCGTCCTCAGTGTGTCGTGCCACTCACGAGGCACCTGGCGGAGATCGTAGACTGGCCGTCGGAGGCTCCACTGGGTACCTGCAGGAAACGACCCAGCGAAGCCAGGTGGACGGCGCAGCCAGATCTCCTCGTGCAGGCTGCCCTGTAGAAAAGCAGTGCTGAAGTCAAGAGAGAGAAGCTCGTAGTCACGCTGAACGGCAATGTGCAGCAGCACCCGAAGAGTGGTCATCTTTGGGGTAGGGGAGAAGGTCTGGAAGAAGTCAACTCACTGTTGCTGACTCAAGCCTCGTGCAACGTAACGAGCCTTGAAGACATGCGGAGAACCTGGCGGCCGCTTCATCCTGAAAATCCACATGCCATCGACTACGTTCGCCCCATGAGGGGGAACTGCATCGACGTAGGTGCCTGTGGACTTCCAGGTTGCCATCTCTGCGTCCATGGCTGTCTACCACTGGAGGAGTACTCACCCGAAATCGTCTCTCTATAAGAGCGCGGGGTGGGGATATCAAGTGCATCCGGGTCTCCCTCAGGGGCAAGCAGCATGGCCATGAGATGAGGTGCAGCGGCTGCAAGACAGTCAAAGTCCTCCTGCCTGTCCTCAAGGACGTCGGTGCCAAGAGCACACTCACCCCCGACGGACGGAGGACTGACAGACTCAGACTCAGCAACAAGACTAGCGGCGTAGTCGAGACGACAAGCAGCAGCAAAGTCAACAAGCTCAGCGACTAAGGCAGACGCAGCTGCAGACTCAAACGAAGCATAAATGATAACAGTGGCTAAGAGACGCGTAATAGTAGGTCTGGCAGCACGAACTAGGTCAAACTCAGGGTCCGGAACGTGCGGAAGAGAGGACGCAGGAGGAGACGGCAGGGGAATGCGCCGTGGAACAGAGGAAGGACGAAGTGCCATAGTGTGCGTGCCAGGGACAAGAGGAGGACGCTCACGAGGAACACGGCGACCAGTGCGACCAGCGTGAATAGGCGAGGCAGGACGAGACGCAGGCTTGACGACGCTCAGTAAGACCTCCTGTCTGCTCAGTATAAGGAGAGGGAGCAGGCAGAGCCTGGCTGTAACGGGATACCAGTAGAAGACGGGACACTAAGAACCTGGCGAAGCACCAAGCCAGTCGGCGGTAGAGACGACGGTGACGGTGGAGCGAAGAACAGACGCGGCGGTGCAGCACCACCAGTACCAGCTCCTCCAGCACTAGCACCTCTAGTACGAGTACCAGCAGCTCCAGGGTCTCTAACAGCTCCAAAAACTCCAGCTCCAGCACCTCCTGCTCCCGGTTCACCAGCTCCAGCACCTACAGCTCCAGGGCCTCCAGCTCCAGAGTCCGCAGCACCACCAGCTCTTGCCGCTCCAGTACCTCCAGCTCTCGCGCCTCCAGCCGCAGCGCCTCCAGCCCCGGCAGCGCCACTCTAAAGGCGGCAGTGCTGAGTGTACCACTCACGTAGCTGCTGCGGCGAGAGAGCAGCACCTCCAGCACCTCCAGCACCTCCAGCACCTCCAGCAGCAGCAGCACCACCAACTACAGCGGCTCCAGTACCACCACTACGAGCACCACCGGGACCAGCTGCTCTAGCACCTCCAGCAGCACCACCACCACCAGCTTTAGCAGCTCTAGTACCACCAGTATGAGCACCTCCGGGACCAGCAGCTCCAGCACCTCTAGCACCTCCAGCAGCAGCAGCAGTACCACCAGCTCTAGCAGCTCCAGTACCTACAGTACGAGCACCTCCAGGACCAGCAGCTCCAACATCTCCAGCAGCTCCAGCACCTCTTGCAACAGAAGCACCACCAGCCCCTGCATTTCCAGAACCTCCACTACCTCCAGCACCTCCAACACCTCCAGCACCAGCAGCACCACCAGCTCCGAAAGCTCCAGCGCCTCCAGCACGAACACCCCCGGGACCAGCAGTGCCAGCACCACCAGTACCTCCAGCATTAGCAGCACCAGTGCCTCCAGCGCCAGCGCCTCCAGCGGCAGGGCGTCTAGTTCCAATAGAGCGACTCCGAAGGCGGGTGCGCCACGCGTACCACTCGCGCAGCTGCTGTGGTGAGAGAGGCTCCCGCCGGCTAGACCACTGGGGCGAGGCACCAGTAGCACCTCCAGGCTCAGCACCCCCAGACTCAGCACCCCCAGGCTCCGCACGCTCAAGCTCAGCACCCCCAGGCTCCGCACGCTCAGACGCAGCACCCCCGGGCTCCGCACATGCATGCTAATCACCTCCAGGCTCCGCACGCTCAGGCTCCGCAACCGCAGGCTCAGCACCCCCAGAGGCAGCACCCCGAGCAGCATCAGAGTCACCAGTGACCTCGACAGGCTCAACCAAGGGGAGTGGGTCTACCTGAAACACACCTGAAGGAGAAGGATCTTGAGGGGGGAGGGGGTCTACCGGAGGGGGACCTGGAGCGAGGAAGAGCGGCGGGGGGGGGGGAAGAGGGGCAGTGCGGTAGGGGAAGAGACGGTAAAAGGGAACCGACTCGTCGAACATGACGTCCTGAGAGGGTAGGACACGGCACGAGGTGGGGTGGTAAAACTGCCAGCCAGGCGCGTAAGGGGGAAAGCCAAGGAAGACGCAGGGAACGGCGCGCAAGGAGAGCTTGTCCGCGGAGGTATCGCGGACAAAGGCACGATAGCCCCAGACCCGGAACACCGACGCATCGCCAACCTCTCCCGTCCAACGCAGTGTAGGTGAGGTCTCCAGCAAGGAGACACGGGGCCGGAGGTTGAGCTGATGCGCAGCGTACCGGACCGCAAACGACCACAGAAAATGGG